CGCAACGACACAAGGAACACGATGGTGCAGGAGGTGTCGTAAACGGAACAACGATCGGCGGTGAATTTAAGTTTTTCCCGACGATAGAGCTAAAAAAAACGACGATGCTTTGACTGAAAATTCCCGACGTTTGGCAGCGTTTCACTTCAATTAATTTGAAGGGTTTGTTCCTCGCTTGATGATGAACACAACGGTGGTTTCAATTTTACGATTGGACGTCGAACGGTGTCGGAATCGGCTTTGAAGTAGAGTGCGGGAGGAGGAATTTCACAATTGTTTTCTGTTTTGAAAACAGAAAACCATTCATACGTTTATATTAAATTTTCTGCCGACACTAAAAGGAGTAATGCAGGGCTTGGTCCCTGAATTTCCTTTAACTTCTAAAATGGCCTACAATTTTGAAAACTTCCGATTTAATCCTCAAATTTTGCCAAATTACTTAATTAATTTTTTTTTCTCTAAATTTTATTCCGGGTTGTTACATTTTTCGCAGGGGTTGAAATTGAATTATATATTCTTGAAGGGGCCGATTACCTAATTTTGAATATGTTAATTAATTGTATTTTTTTTTGTCAGATGAGTACTTATTCCTCCATGGATGGAGTCCACTATTGCAAAACTCATTTTGAGCAACTTTTCAAAGAAACTGGGAATTACAACAAGAATTTCCAATCAGGTCTGAAACATATTGTTCATTTTTTTACTTAATTCACAATTTAGTCTTTAAGTTCATTTTTTATTTTTGTTTGATTTTGATCCCTAAAGTATATTCATTTCTCATTTTACACCTTGAAACAATTTAGACCAATCAAAACATGTCACGTGATAGGTGACAAGAAAACCGGATGTCACGTGGCATGAGTTGATTGGCCAAATTGTTCTATAGTGTAAAATGGAAAAAAATATACTTTAAGGGTCAAAATGACCAAAAAGTTCAAGGTGCGTACAAATATAGAATCAAGTTTTTTGGTCTCTATTTTAGCTCTTAATGCATACCCGTTTTTCTATTTTACACACTAGAACAATTTAGATCAATGAAAACACGTCACGTGTCGAATGACAAAAAAAATCGAACTATCATGTAACATGAATTGATTGACCAACCTGTTATAGGGTGAAAAATAAGAAAAATAAATATGCTTTAAGATTCAAAATGGAAAAAAAATTAAGGTGCAAAAGGGAAATACAAGTATACTTGGATGACTAATTTATGAATTAAGCTCAATTATGAATATCGGAGTTGATATAATTTTGTTGACACATTTTTACTTTCTTCTTATGACCACTTTTGCAGCAAAAGAGAAACAAAATGACCCGGTACGTTCTCCTCATGACTACATATTTTATATATATATATATATATATCGAATATCTATCTGATATATATCCATATCTAATATTCAATTTCGAGTAATAAATATATTTTCGATCATATTATGTTTATCGGACTATGAAATAATAAATATTTACGTAATATATTTTCAGAATAAGACTCCCAACAAATTTTCATCCATGTTCTCTGGAACCCAAGATAAATGTGCTGCTTGCCAAAAGACAGTGTACCCATTAGAGAAGGTAAATACATTTTACCATCTTAATTAGTTTGCATTATCATGTGATGCATGTGTCACGAATTTAAAGGCCGTTTCGACATAAATAGAATATATTTATATAATATTTTAAAATTGTATATAATATATACTATGAATTAAACTCTTAGTGTCATGAGTTAATCTATCAAATAATAATTTAATCAGAAAAATGTCAAAATAATCAAATTTAGATAATAATATAGAGAAATGAAGATAATGTATAAATGTAATTCAAGATTTTAAGAAAACTATAATTTATCATATTTCTATATAGATGACAAGTATTTCATTATTGAGGTCTCATAGTATTATCTCAGCAAAAATTATAATTTATCATATTTTTATATAATTGATAAGTATTTTATTATTAACATATCATAGTACTTTGTCGGTAAATAATGTTAAATTATAAAAATATTTTTTTTTAAAAAATTTCAATTACAAAAAAAAAATATAAGGTGATTCCAATTATCACATCAACAAAATAGAGTACCACACAAGTAATGTAATACACATGGAAAGACATATAGACAATCACATGAGCATGTAAAAAAATATAATTTAATAAATATTTTTATTATAAATGAAAAAATTAAGAGTCAAATTTAATTAAAAAAAGTTATGATTAAATTGATAAAAATAAGGAGTAAATCTCATTCATCTATTTTCATTCATCTAACGATTTTAAATCTGTGTAAAACTAAAAAAAATTATATTATGTAAGTGAATCCTAACCCTTATTACGATTGTTATTTATAACTTCTTTTATACAATGTTTAGATTATTTTCAGAGGGTGTGAATTTTTAAGAATTTATATTAGAAATTTAGGAGTATAAAATTATAAAATTTAAGGGATGTTAAATTATATCATTAATAGAATATATATATAAAAATAATATCAAATTATATGAAAATTTAAAATTTTCAAGAGTATAATCGACCCTCCCAACGTCATGCTCGGTTTAGCCATGCCCATAATCCTTTAAAAGCATTAAATTAAAAGAAATTTATTTATTTATTAATGTTGGTTCACATTGATTGATGATTAGGTGCAAGGATGGATAAGGGGGCGGTCAGGACAATCGTCCCCTAAAAATTCTAAATTATCATATATTTTAGATGATTTTTTTTATTTTTTTAATAATTTATTTTCATCCATTAGAATTTTATAAGTCATATCTCCTCTTAAAATTTTAAATATTTTTTCTAATATAAAATGTTACGTACGTCTCTGATTAGGCATCGATGTAAGGTGAATGTTTCCGCAAGTCATGGTTCAAATGCGGTCAAGGAGGTTGTCACTTAACCCACTCTTCATACGCTGCTTTAAATGGAGTCCTTTACTGCAAACACCATTTTGCTCTACTCTTCATGGTCAAAGGCAGCTACTACAACCACGTTCTCGAGGCCGCCAATAATAAAACAAACTCCAAGGCGTCTGCCGAACCCGCCGAAAACGGAGCGGAAGAAGCTTCGGTGGCTCAAGGAAATGAAGAAAACGAGTCATCAAAAAAAGAAATTATACGATACCGATACGATATCGTTCTCACGATTTTCTCTCAATTTTCTTTATTTTTTTCTATTATTATTTTTTCAAACATAACTTGACTGAGTGGCAGACAATCTCAGCAACGTTGAATCTATTTTGTTCACATCTTGTTTATGTAATTCGTACAAACTCATTACTTGAAATTATATTACATTGAATTGTTTCAACTAGCAACAATTATATGTATTGTCAAAAGAGTTTGCATCGAAATAATTGTGTTGGAAATGATTTTTTTATTCTGTTTAATGTAAAAATAAATGTTTAAATTATATCCTAAGTTAACTTTAGGTGATTATAATTTTTTCATTAAAAATAGTTGTTTAATGTTTTCTGTGTTACACTTTTAGGTGTTTACGCAGTAACGGCTGTTAAAAAATCGTTAAGTGACATGTGTCATGATTATATTTTGGCTTAGTGTAAAAAATAAGTTCATAAACTATACCCTAAGTTAACTTTAGATGTCTAAAGATTTGTCACTAAGAATAAGTGTCTAACGTTTCTGACATTACATTTTTAGGTGTTTAGGTTGTAACAGCCGTTAAATTTAGTCATTATCTGACATGTGTCATGTCTATATATATCTTTAAAATTTTATTTTTTAAAAAGTTAAAATATTATTTTAAAAATATTTTTTAAGAAAAAAAATTTCCCCTCCCACCCTCGCATGAGTAAAAAATTCCCCCTCCCCAGTTGCATTCAAAACCCTTCATTGTCCTCAAATCCCTAAAGTTAACTTAAGATGAGAATTATAAATTTGGAATTAGAGTTAGAAAATCTGGGATTAGGTTCAAGGATTTAAGATTGGTTTATGAATTTAATAGGATTCAAATTACAACAAGAGGGATGTTCTGTAGTGGAGGTCTAGCGACGGGTGAGTGGTCATTCGACGATGGCAAATATAGTCGGTAATAGCTAACAATGACTAAGGCGGACGGTGATAGCCGACTACAGCTGGTAATGAGATTGAAATGAGAGATTTTAAGATTGCATGGTTTGCTTTGTAATTATAGAAAAATGTTTTAAAAAAATTAATAATATTATTAAGTTTTTTTTAAAAAATAAAAATTTCAAAAAATATAAGCATGACGAGTGTCACTTATCAGCTTTTTAATGGTTATTACTGTGTAGGCATGTAAAAGTATAACGTCGGAAACATTAGGAACTTATTTTACTGAATTTTTTTTAAAAGCATAAAGTTAACTTAGAATATAGTTTGGACATTTTTTTTGCATTAAGCCAAAATATAAACATGACACATGTCGTTTAATGGGGTTTTTTTACGGATGTTACTACGGAGGCACCTAAAAATATAACAGAGAAAACGTTAGAAATATACTTTTAACGGAAAATTATTTAGACACCTAATATTAACTTAAGGTATAATTTGAACACTTATTTATACATTAAACCTTCTAAATATAACATAATGAACACCTAAAATCAATTATTATCAAAATAATATTATTTATTGATTAGGCGATAAAAAAGTATCCAAGTAATAGTGATTTTTAAAAATGTATTTTTAAAAAACAATATTTTTACAACTCTATTTAATAATTTTTCAATTTTTTTATATTTTTTAAGTAAATCTAATACTCTTTTAATATTTGATATCTCATATTCTTATGTACCTATGAAGCTTGTATATATTTATAATTCGTCTCTTGCAAATGTGATAGATAATTAAAGATGGAATCACTTTAATGTCTCCTTTGCTTGCAATGTTAGGTTAGGCATAGAATCAGTGGTGAATTGGGCAGTAAGAAAAAGTAAGAGAAGAATTATTAAGAAATTAGAGAGGTTGTGGGTTGTTATATATTGCAAGAAGAGGTTGGTTTCATAAGAAAAGAAAGAAGGAATGGAGATTCAACATGCAATCCATGAGCACCCCTTGTATTTTCAAGAGAGAAGCTGGGGAAATTGCTCTGCATGTTGGAAGCTCTTATTTGGGCCCACCTATGGTTGCACCAAATGTGAAAAGCTTTTTCATAAATCCTGTCTTGATGAGCTCAAACTTGGTAGCTTTATACATTTCACTCATTTTCATCCTACAAAGCCTGTTGATTTCAAGCAGCAGGAAGATAATCAAGTTGTCTGCGCCATTTGTAAACACCTCTGCTCTTCTTCTTCTTCTTCCACCTATGGGTGCATGGAATGCAAGTTTTTCATTCATAAATCTTGCCTCACCACCATTCCACCACAGCTCATCAATCATCTCATCCATCCATGCACTCTCGTACTCCAACCAGTAGATTTCATTTACTCTTGTGCTAGATGTCGTTCAAATTGTCCCGGCAGAGCCTTCGTATGCAACACATGTGGTTTCTACCTGGATGTCAAATGTGCCTTTGATTCTATAGCAGAATCTGAAGAAGCCAAAGAGATCCAACATTTCAGCCACCGACGTCCACTTTCACTCATCCAAAACTATCAACAATATGGAAATGAACCTCGCTGTGCAGCATGTCTACAAACTTGTTTACCTCCAACACCAACTTTCAGGTGTACCAAATCATCATGCACCCACTTCTTTTTACACAGATCATGCGTTGTTATTTTCCCTCATCAACGTCGCCTTCATGACCATCCCTGTCATCCCAAACACGAACTCACCTTTACATCCCTCCCATTCCGAATCCCTACTTGTGGTGCATGTTGCTGGGGTATTGATTCATCCCTCTTTGCATACGGTTGTTATCAGTGTGAGTTTAGCCTTCACTTGGATTGTGCTAAGCTGTTGCCCAGTTTTGATTGCAATGACTCTCTTCCACAAAACACCCGGTTTCACTTGTCATCTTGTGGTGTAAACTGCTATAACTTTGTCCTTCGATGTGTGCCATGTAATTTCAACATCCATCTTCAGTGTCTTCCATCAATACCCAAAACAATAACCCATAAATCCCATCTCCATCCTTTAATCCTTACAAATTCTCCTTTTGAATATGAGTTGAACTCAGAAGAAGATGCTTATAACTCCGATGATGAATTTTATTGTGACGTCTGCGAGGAGAAAAGATACAAAAGGGTGTCTGTTTATCACTGCGCAGACAGTAAATTTATTGCACAACTTAACTGCGTCATCGATGAAGTAAGTCCTTATCCTAGTCTCAATCATTCCTTGGTATAAAAAATTGTAAATAAAGAGTTGATAATGATCAGGTGTTGCCATTGATTCCAAGGAGAGATCCTGTTCAATGAGTTGATCCCCATGATTATGATCGTATTCATGCTGCTGTCGCTAGCGTCGACGATGGTGCTTGGGAGATTAGCAGAGTCTTATACAAGATCGAAGAATTAAAACAAATGAAAAAGGAACAAGAAAATAGTTTGGAACGTACGGTAAGAGATCTACGGTTAACAGAAAATAGGTTTGAGGAACTTGTGGCACTGGCACATGCTCACAGATAATAGAACAGTACAGAAAGCCGATCGGGTCTTGGCATAGTTATAAGTTTGAAATTAAGGATTCTCAATTTCATGTTAAAGTTCCATTTAATGTAAATAGAGTTAATTGCACCACATGTCCTAAAAGTATGATTCTCATTTAAATTAATCCTTAAACTTTTAAATGTTCTAATTTCATCCCTAAACTATGACTATCATTTTAAATTAGTCCTCTAACTTTTAAATATTTCAATTGCATCCCCAAACTATGACCTTCATTCTAAATTGGTCCCCAAACTTTTTGAACATTCCAATTTCATCCCAAACTATACATATATACTAATCTCATCCCTTGTTGATAAAATCGTTCGGCCAAGTTATATTATTATATGTTTGAAAAGAATAAAATTTAGGTTAAATTATGGTTGAAACTAATTACATATTTGGATGAATTTGACGATGAAATTGGAATATTCAAAAGTCTGGGGAGCAATTTTGAAGTCATAGTTTAGGGATGAAATTAGAATGTTCAAAAGTTTAAGGACTAGTTTAAAATGAGAGTCATAGTTTGAGGATGAAATTGAAATTTTAAAAAATTTAAGGATCAATTTAAAATGAGAGTTATAGTTTGGAGACATAGAATGTAATTAATTCATGTGAATATTATCCTACGTAAACCTACTCTAAATATATTGATTTGATTATGGGTTTCAATAATTATTGTTATTATTTGGATTGTATCAAAGGTAACTGTCATTGTGTTGTACTTGTATTATTGTATTAAAGGTAACTGTCTTGGGTTGGACATAATCGATAGTCTATAAGAATTTTTTTATAATAATACTTTTTAAAAATTAATTTTTAAAAAGTCAATTTTAAAAAAGGTAATTTTTAAAATATTTGTTTTAAATCATAGTATAATAAATTTGCTTTGGGAAGGTTACACGTAACATAAGAATTTTAGAGTATCTCACAACGTCTAAAATTATTACGATATTAATTACATGTTTTCTCAATTTTTAGAAATTAAAAAATTAAAATTTAAAATATGATTCATTAAAATATAAGGTTGAATGTAAATTTAATCGATGGAGTGAACCTCAATTGAAAAAATATTAAATTAGTTTTTAAATTTTTGAAAAAACAATTTAATTAATTTTACGAAGATATTGTTTTATTACGAATAATTAATAAGATCGCACTTAAGTTATTTTAGAACTTATCCCATTAATCATCTTAATAAAATAATATTATCTTGAATTTTTTTAAAAAAATATGAAAACCTTTTTAATAAGGTAAAATGGTATGTGAGGCCCTTGTATCTTTTTGCACCCAATGTGACCTCAAATTTAGAAAATAAATCAAATGTTGCCTTTTGACCCATGGTTTTCATCATTTATTGTTACGTTACTGATGTGACAGTCTACGGTGGCCAATAATGTGGAAAATGGGTTGTCACACCTCAATTTAGGGGCTAAAAATTAAGAAATTATAAAGTACTGATTTTAATTGATATTTTGGGAGAAATTGAGGATTAAATTGTAATATTTCAAAGATGGCAGACCGTTTTAGAAAGTATAGGAAATTCAGTGACCCACTCTTGAATTTACCCATTTTTAGGTATGAATTTTAACCCTCCTCGTATGTTTTATGCAGATTTTTCTCATTTTCCTCATCCGGTCAACCCACTTTGAGCTCCAATCTATTCACCGTCCGACCATCGTTCGACGAATCGAAACCACCATCGTGTTCGTTGTCGATCGAAGAACAAAACCACTCAAACTTTTTCATCGTGAATCGACGTCGTTTGTCGTAAATCTTAATCGGAAGTATCAGAAGTTTTCACTCAATTTACGTTGGTTTTTCATCGATTCACGTTAATTCGGCCACCCGTTTTCGACACCTCCCGCACTATCGTGTTCCTTGCATCGTTCCGAGTCCACCGGTGTTCTCCGTGTCTCCGTCATCGCCGACGCGTGGAGGGATGAGAAAGTCAAAGTTTTTGATATTTCAGAATCGAGCTCTCCACCGTTCAAAATTATGAATCAAGCTTGGTAAATGTCTCAAAATGCTTTGAAATAATTTTTAAGAATTTTTCGGGAATTTTTCAGAGACTGTAACACTATTCACGCACCCCCACGCGCCGCCACTGTGCGTGGGGGAGCTTCGGAAACTGTTGGGGCAGTTTGACCCAGTTTTGACCCGAGCTGTTTGACCCGGTTTGACCGACCCGACCCGTTGACCCGATCTGACCCATTGACCGTTGACTTTGACCAAAAAGTCAAATTTTTCAAAAAGTTATATTTTATGTTTTTCGATGTTCTGAGTTCGATTCAGAAGTCCATTTTTCAAAATTCGAAACCGAAAGCATCGAAATTATCAATCAAACCTGTTAACTTTGACTTTTACCAAAAAGTCAAATTTCGAAAAGACTTATTTTATGTTTTTTGACGTCCTGAATCCGAATCCGAAGTCCGTTTCATCAAATTCGAACCCGGTAAGTTGTTTTTGACTGATTAATCACCTGATTTGATCTATTTTTCGTAATTAAGCTCCGTTTTTAATGAAATTTCAGTTTATATGCATCAAAGGAATTATTAGAAGTTGATTTCAAGATCGAGGGCGTTCGAATGGAATTTATATGGTTGATCAGTATGGCACAAAAATCGAGATAGTACATTACTACCTCTTTATGCTTTATGAAACATGTTGATAATGGATAAATGCATGAATGTATATGATTGGTATATTATGCCTGTTTGATTATGGATGAATTCGAACCGAGTACGATTTAAGTGATAAATTAGTTAAGATTCTATTGAATTACAAGTCATGTGATTAAGTGATAAAAGAATCAATCATGAATATGTAAATTATAATTTATCTCATTAAAGGTACTTGGATGATAAATTATGAGAATACTTCGATTAGGTAAAATTACGAAAATACACTTATGTTGTAATAAGGACAAGAATTGACTCTGGAAGTTGGATAAGAATTTTTAAAGACATATTGATATGATGAAACTACTGATGTGTATATAAAATATTGGTTTTGCTTAGGAAATCTGGATAACCGATTTCTAAATCCAAGATAGCTTGTACAAGATACTAGAAGTTTTGTTAAGGAATAATTTAGAGTTTAAAGATTAATCTGGCAAAGCGATTAACCCCAGAATCTCTAAATTATAATTATCCTCGTTAGGAGTTAATACCGAAATTATTTTGTTAAGAAATACGAAATTTCCCTTGAAAGGTAAAAGTATCCCCAGTTGATATGGAATGAGAAAGTACACGGGAAGTTTTGCCTAAATCGTTGAATTATTGATTTAATTGTTAAGATCCTACTTTTGTTCAGAAAGTTTCTGATAATCTGTAAATCTCCGAGTTGTGAGTAAATACGTGAAGGATAATTTATCGAGGGTGCTCCTTTGTCAAAATTGGTTGAAAAGACTGAAATAGATTATAAGGGCAGATTAAATAATAAGATCAGACAAAATAAAATGATTGAAATATATTGTATCTGTAAAATGACCAAAATATCTCTGGAATGGAAATGACCAAAATATCTCTGGAATGGAAATGACCAAGAATATCACCAAACTCAGGAATGATTGGATATCATCGAGCTCTGAAACGAATGAAATAAAATTGAGCACCAGAAAGACCAAAATACCCTTATGGCTTAGACTAAGTAGAAGTTTTGGATTAATTAAGGAATCCAAGTAAATATGGGTGTTGTACTACCCTTAAAAGTTATGGAACACAACTTAAGCGAGCCGATAAACCTTAATGATATGTCAATACCTGAAAGGCATAGATATTACTTGAATGCGTGTTCATCTTCTCAAGTTTGGCTCGATGATAATTTTGGAAGTATTCAGCTCAGCTCAACTCTATATCACATTCAGTACTAAGAATTGGATATTTGTTCGACAAATCAACCACGAAGACTGAACTGAACTGAACTGAACAAAGGTACAATATGTATTCGAAATTCAGAAAACGTCTGAATTACTCTGGAAAACTCTGAAGTAACCGATACAAATTTGACTATTAAATGAAATAAGCAACCTCAATGACTAAGGATTAAATAAGTGATTTGGATGAGTTTGGAAACCTTAATGAACATACATGATGTAATGTTCTTATGGGTCATGAATTACAAATCAAGCACGTCAGTATTTTATGATATCATGGAAGCGTGGAAATGAAATAAAGAGCTTTGAAATATCTATTAGTTTCCTTAAGATCTATTCAGTGATGATTCCGAAGAAGATCTATTCAACGATGATTTCGAAGATGATCTATGGATAAGGCTTTTAGGTATTAAAGAGTAAATACCCTGGAAGGACAATGAATTGACCAGTTGCCAAGTATAAGTTCTGGGAGTGGTTCGATAATCCGCTCAATCAACATGGATTGAATCTTCGTTTATTCCTTATTAACTCAAATCACATTATGCATAACTGATGATTATGTCAGTTAATGAACTCTTCCAATAGTGATTCTAACTTCTGGTGTTATATCAGTACACTGAAGATCCTTGTTTCTCTGTCTGATAAGATTATCCAGTATCTCTGAATAATATCTGTAAACACTAGTGTGTTCCCTAATCACATAAATATTTTATCTTATTTCTGACTTGAATTATGTTATTATTTTCCAATGCTTGGACGAGTGGACCATTTGGAAGAGTTATTACTTCTTCCTTTGATGTGAGCCTTGTGATGCACGTATCATC